CTTTGTTTTACTATGGTTGCAAATATCAAAAAATTTCTATATGTGACATGGCACCAGAGTTAAGTCAGGGTTTTTCAAAATGCTGACACGCCGAGCTCAAAAGGTTCACCATCACTGTTCTATACCCATTTGTTTTCTTCCTCTGGGTTCCTCCCAAAGAACATGCTCCTTCATGTTTCTTTTACGACCCCCTAGAATTGCACTGTGTGGACATGCCATAGTTTAATCAGACCTGCAAGCTCTCTCCCATAGATGGATGTTTGGGTTGTTTCCAGACGTTGCTATGACAAACAGCTCTGCAGTGAGTCACTGTGTACACACTTTTTTCTGTGTTTGTCAGCAGATCTCTGGGATAAACCCCTAGACATTGGATCAATGTGTCCAAGGGTAAAGGTGTTGGCAATTTTGCTAGATTTTTCCCACAGCGTCTCCCTACAGTTGTGCTAATTTGCCCACCCCTTGGTGACGTAGGGGAGTTCCCCCACAGACTCCCAAGAGGGAGTTGTCAGCCTCAGGCTTTTAAAACCAATGTGACAGGTAAAGTTTGTGTTTCAGTGGCTGTCATGTGCCTTCGTAATGGAGGTCTTTTCTGGGATAGAGTAGACCAAGGTGAATGGAGGCCATGGGCAGGGGTGTGTCTCGCCCGCTGGGCCCCCCACAAGAAGCAGCACTTGGAGCTGAGCCCTGGAGGGTTTATTATCCATTCCTGGGTGGGGTGGGGGAATCGGGGTTCTAGTGAGGAGTTAGCTGGGGGCAGTGGCCCTTCACACGGGCCTGTAAGTCCCATTGTAGCTAAAGGGGGTAGGCTTCCAGCAGTCCCCGCCCTCCTCAGGTATCCATCGCTGCACGTAGTTGGGGCCTTTGTCCCGGGGCCACACGATCACGGTGTCCCTGGATGCCATGGATGGGTCCTCGGGGAAGAAGTTGAAGGGCCGGAGCAGGAAGCCCACAGAGTTCCCGGGGGTGGCCATGTTGGGGATGTCCTCTGAGTGGGGGATGTGCAGGAAGCCCACTGTCACCCAGGCCACCAAGTCCTGTGGGAGAGAGGGGTGGGCAGTGCTGACGGGCTCGGAGAGGCGAGGGGTGGGCGACCCCTCAAGCTCTCCTCATAAGGAATGGGCAGATCTGGGGACACTGAGCTTGCTCTCCACAAGCGAGGTGCTGCTGGCACAGGCCCCAGGAGGGGGCGCAGCTCTAGCCTGGGGCTGGGGTTGGAAGAAGGCGGGGCCAGTACCTCTTCTTCAATGTTCTCATTGTTTCGAAGAAACTCCTCAAAGACCACAGGCGGGTCCCAGGGGTCGTTCTGGTTGTAGATGCTGCTGCTGCACAGCTCAGACTCCCGGTACTTGGTCACTGCCAGGGGGTACCTGCCGGGCAGAGTAGCCAGGTGGCTCTGGACACTGGGGGTGGCCCAGCCCCTCCCGGAGCATGTCTGCAGGGTCAATGACGTGGCTTTCCCCAATTTCCACATCATGTCTTGGGAGCCTGTCAGTCTGACCCAGGGTCAGCGGGGGCTCAGGTGCTCAGAACAGGCCTTCCACTCCCCTCCTCAAACACAGAGCCACGCCCTGTAACACACACACACACACACACACACACACACACGCACACACATACGCATGCACACACACAGACCCAGAGTCTCATAGACAGAAACACAGCCACCCCAGACACAGGGAAATGTAGGGAGAGGTTATAGAGTCAAGCCTTGGACTGACCTGTGGCAGAGCCACATACAAGTCCTAGCTTGGAGGGCAGAGCCCTCCTAGCACAATTAAGCTTGACCTTAGAGTCCTCCCTTGGGCCTAAGTAGCTAATGGGCTGTGGGAGGTGCAGCAAGTGCTGCCAAAACAAGGCTCGAGTAAGGAAATAGGTTTGAAACTCACAAGTCATTTAAACATGTTGACCGCTCCCCTTGCTTTGCTTTGTGTGATCTGACTATAAAATAAAGCTTCGGTGAGAGTTCACCCCTGGCAGTGCTGGACTGGTTCAGGGAAACATAGGGCAGGGCCTCCAGTCCTCCCCGCCCCCAGCTTCCCAGGCCTCCTCACCTGGCCCAGGTGACAGCCCGCTCCTCCTGCCAGCCGGGCGGCATCACCTGCTCAGCCATGGAGTGGATTTGCAGCCGGTAGCTGCGCTGGTGGCCCCAGCGGTTCTCCTTGGGGCTGGTGAAGAGCAGGTACTTGGGCAGATTCTGTCCGAAGCGGAAGGCCGCCTGGCGCTCGCGGGAGTACCCCGTCTGCTTTAGGGTTGGCTGGACCAGCCGGTGCTCCGGGCTCCAGGGGTTGGTGATGTTTTCTAGCTTCATGCCCAGCGTCTGGAAGCTATTCTTGGTGCCTGCGGGTGTGAAGGGAGATGCACAATGA